TGTTATAAAGCTTAGTAATGTAATAGGAATGATCAAAACTTAGAAGAAAATAAAATTTTAACAAAAACATCAAGAAAATAGTAAGTAATGCTAAACTTAAAGCGATAATCTATACAATAAATTAGGAACAAGAGAAAGTGAAAAAGATCTCTTCAGACTAGAAAAAAGAGAGAGAGGAATTGGAGGGATCCAAATCCTATTATATGCATTAAAAGTGAGTATCAAAGGATCCTGGTGAAAGATGGCGAGGTTAATGAAAGGTGGAGAATTTATTTTAAAAAATTGTTTAATAACGAACACTATGGGAGCACAACTGTAGGAGGAGCCTTTGACATAAATGAGGGTGGAGGTTATAGTTACATTTGCCGGATTAGGATATCTAAAGCGAAAGAAGCTTTTAAAAAAATGAAGATAGGAAAGGCTTTAGGACGAGATGGTATCGCGATAGAGGTTTGGCAGTGCATTGGAGATATTGGCATATGCTGGCTCACCAAGCTGTTCAACATGGTGTTGAGAACAGAGAAAATGTCAAACAAATGGAGAAAAAGTATTGTGGTACCTATTTATAAGAACAAATGAGACGTGCAAATTTTTACAAACTATCGAGGGATTAATCTTATGAGCCTTACTATGAAGCTGTGGGAGAGAGTGGTTGAGAAACTACTATGACGTGAAATGAGTGTATTAGAAAATCAATTCAATTTTATGCCAGGGAGGTCAATTATCGAAGCGATTTTCTTACTTAGGCAATTGATTGAGAACTTTAGGAAAAGGGAAAAGTCCTCCATGTGGTTTTCATTGATTTAGAGAAAGCATACAATAGGGTACTTAGAGATTTAATTTGGTGAGTATTGGAAAAGAAATGAGTAACTAGAGGCTATATTGATATTGTGAGAGATGTACGAGGGAGTGCTAACTAGTTTGTGGACAACTAGTGGAGAGACAAGTGAAGTCTCTGTGACAATGAGCCTACATCAGGGCTATGTGCTGAACTCATCTCTCTTTGTTTTGGTTATGGAAGAGTTAACCAGGCACCTATAAGATAAGGTACTATGGTGTATGTCGTTTAGAAATGATATAGTTTTGATCGATGAGACTAGAGGCGACGTCAGTGCAAAGTTAGAACGTTGGAGGGATGCTCTAGATTAAAAGGTTTTACAATTAGCTGGATTAAGACAAAATATATGGAATGCAAGTTTAGTAATAATAAGAATACAAACGAGGAAGTAGTTAGATTGATGATCAAAAAATACTTAGAAGAGATTATTTCATATAGTTAGGATCGATAATCTATTAGAATAGAGATAATGAGGAAGATGTCACACATAGAAATATAGCTGGGTGGGCAAAGTGCGGATGTGCATCATGAGACTGAAGAGGAAGTAGTTAGATTGATGATCAAAACATACTTAGAAAAGATTATTTCATATATTTAGGGTCGATAATCTATGACAATGGAGAGATTGAGGAAGATGTGACACACAAATATAGTTGGGTGGGCGAACTGGAAATGTGCATCTTGAGTTTTATGTGATCGCCACATACCATTGAGGCTGAAGGGGAAGTTCTATAAGACAACTGGAAATCCAGCCACGCTTTATGGGATGGAATGTTGGGGTCAAGAAACAACATATCCCTAAGCGTAGCTGAGATATGGATTTTGAGATGGAGGAGAGAGAAGACAAGAAAAATTAGAATTCAAATGAATATATACGAGGGAACTTAGGTGGGGCTTTAATAGATGATGAGATTTCATACTTTCATTGATAGGGTTGTAGCCTCTTCTATTGAGTGAAATTTTCATCGATTCATACAAAAACTGATGAGATGAAAGCTTAAATACCTTCCTAACACACTTTGAAATGAAATGAGACAGCCCTCTTTGGGAAATAACATTGGGTAGATTGGATTTGGAAGTAACTCCTTGTGGTCACTTTCTGGTTGCTCTCAATCCTACTTCTAGAGTTATGAAAATAGGGTTTCCTTAAAGAGTGGAATTCTTGATATAAGTAGAAGTGAGGGGTAAAAATGTTTCAACTTTCAACTCACGGGTAAATGCCTATGTGGAAAATTCTCTGCCCAATAGTGGTTTCACTTGGGTCACTGACAAGCTCTTAGATGTATGTGTACTAGCTTAGTGTTGAAGAAGGGGAGGTAATCACCAATTGGCGAAACGATTGCTTGACAGAAATTGAAATCCGAGCTGATGACTCCCCATCATATGGTGAAGGTTGGCTAAGGAGAAGGTTTGAAGTTTGAGTGGAAGAGTAAATAGCTATGAATCAAATAAAAAACAAAAAAGAGTGTGGATTAAATGATGCCGAGTGATTGGGATGAAGATGAAGGAGGCTTTGGATTTAAGAGAGCTTTTGAGAGAATTAGCAATTGTAGTGCTTTATGAAAGGGTGAAGCTCATGGGTGGATGGGTAGTCTTCAAGCTTGAGATCATGGGCCTCGTGCATAAGATTGGAGAACCAGTTGAAAGACATAATCCCAAATGGCTTTAGAAAAGGTAAATCAAGTGCATTACCTTTTGCATAGTTGGCATGGTGAATTTCTTTGCACCAGCTTGATAAAGAGCATTAAATTTCCCAAGTACCTAGTATTTGGTAAGTAGAGGGAATGCTATCATAATGGGGTTTGCTCCTCATGCTTGAGTAGAAATTTAAGTATTTTACGTTTACTCATAGGTAACATGTCATTCATTCATAAGAAGAATACATCTTATTACAGAAGCTGCAAGCACAAAAAAAAAATGGAAAGGTTACAAACAGGAATATAGATGAGAAGGAAAGAGATCAAAAGAAATGGGAGCACCAACCAATTTTACATGGATATAAAAGGCTGAAATAGCAAAAAATGAAACCCCAATCACCAAAGATTACCTCTGATATGTGAGGGTGCTTGTTTTTGCATATATGTGTGTGTGCGTGTGTTCGTCTTTGAGCTATTTTGGAAACATTATACATTAAGGCTTTTATTTCTTGTGAACGAAAAAAATCTTTCTTAGCATACCGAACTATAGTTTTTTCCATAGATTAAGTGGCATTGGCACATCTTCACCAGCCATGGAAATTGGAACTTAACAAAAAATTATGCCATCCATATTGGAGTTAGTTTAGGGTGTGTTTTGCTATAAGGTGGGAGCAATCCCAATATATGGAACGGAAAAGTGCATTTGGCTCAAAATAAGGTCTCACCTGATGGCAAGCTGACAATGATGAGGCACTTTTCATACAGGCCATTTTGGTGTGGCATGGACCATTTTATGAAAAAGTGGCTGCCTGGACGGCCTATGCCCCATGTGATGGGATGCCACCCTGCGTTGGCCCGTTTTCACTAACTTAACTTGGAGAGGAAATAATCCTCAGTTTAGGGATATTTTAATTATTTTCTAATCCATGATTTACAATATGGAGTGCAATTATGCTGCAGTAAACCATGATATTGTGGGCCATGCTGACATGCTCTTAGCTATAGATCTGCTACTGCTGAATCTGGCTGTTGGAACACGAAACTGATCAGAATAAAGTAGGCCTTTTTGTTGTTATTAGTTAGCACTTATAACTTTCTAGGTAATCTTTTGCATAATAAATCCATGCCCTCAATCACCCAAAAGCAAAGGAAGATAGTGTTTTCTTCCTAAGCACAATTGCTCTCTGGATGATATGTATAATGTGAAAGTAATGTGAAACCCATGTGAAGCAAAGCAATGTGAAACCCATGTGCTTCCTGATGATTTGACATTTGTATCTGTGCATGTGAATGGAGGATTAAGGTTCATGTAACCGGCCCCAAATAATTGGGATAAGGCTTCGATGATGATGATGATGATCTATGCATGCGAATATGGTTCAACACATAGTTTGAATCAACTAATTTTTTTCAAACTCAACATAGTCCTAGCTTGAGTTAAGTTTGTTGAATACCAAAATGAATCCCTGAGTCTTTTTCAAATAAGAGCAAACCAAACTTGGGTGATTTTTCACTTTTTTTATGGGACTCAGTTGGGCAACTCGGTGAGTCCCGATTCAGCTGGCCAAGCTTTGAACTGTGGTTGAACCTTCATTCTTTGCATGCTTGCTGCAAACTTACATGGGTTTGAAAGCATGGTTTGGTTGCATGATGCTATAGATGATTTGTGAACCAGGCCTTTGGCCTAATGGTGATACCGAGATTTGCAAAAGAGATGTCTAGATTTCTAATCTTTTTCTTTAAGTAGTGGATTCCAACTTGGAAATTGTGTTTGTGCCTGAGCTAAACTCCAAGGGCCCTAATCTTCTTGAGTTTGAACCTATGTCAGTTAAAACCAAGCTGAGCCACCCACAAAAGGAAAAATATAAAGGTGGGAGATGCTTATGTGCACTTGTTCTGGACATGGCTCTCTGCATGTTAGCTGTTATTGTTATCGTTTTTTTTTTGGGTAATTTAATGGGGATGATGAGCCCCGGCCCGTTTTTTAAATAGTTAGTGGTTTTTTAATGCGTTAGGTGAGAATGGAAGCCTAGACCTTAGCTGGGGCACAAGTGGTGCTACCACCACAACCCCAACCCCATTCTCAAGTATTGTGTTCTTTCTTTCCTCTATGACGATGCACCAAACCAAGAGTTGCACTGATTCTGTCGTCGAAGAACTTGACTTGTTGTCTTGATGTATATGATGATAGTACATTAAATTCTGATAATTACTCAAATGTTATTATGAGTTGTTCAGGCCAAATTCCATGTCATTCAAACTGTTAATTTTCATAGTGGATGTGATCCATCTATCCTGGGCAAACCATTGTCTCCTAATTTGAGTTGCTTGTTACAATGCTTATGAAAAACCTCTTTTTGTCTCTACCTGATAATTCTTTGTAGCTCTAAATCTTCTACCAACTAAACAGTAAGGAACTAATGAGGAATATCTGCACATACATGATCATTATTAAGTGCTTCTGTGCTGCAGGAAACTTAACACTTCTATTCTTCTCAGCTGACAATTACAATTTTGTCATGCAGCGTCTCAGTAGTTCAGGATACGTGTTTTCTGCATCTTTGCCTCCTTATCTAGCATCTGCTGCAATTACTTCTATCGGTGTTCTGGAGGAAAATCCTGATCTACTTACGAAGCTGAAGGATAATATCTCTATACTGCGGGAAGGTTTGTTCGGGCCTTAATGTTACTATTTCCATTGCATTGTACATTGCATATTGTTTTAGCAATATTCTCAATTGAACCAAGTGTAATATTTTTATTCTATGAAATATTACTAGGTCTTCAACTTTTCATGTTGAACTCAACTTCATGGATTAATTGGATCTGAGTGTGGGGAAAGATCTATTCATTTGCCTGTCTTTATTAATAGAATGATAAATCAAGGGGTGTCTAGAGAGACTCATCTCTTGGAAAACAAGCCCCTTTTCTCACTGGCTTGCAGCTTTCCCTTTGGTTTTGAGTTAAGGCTTAATTACGTCTCATATTTGGACTATAATTAGGCTTAAATAGCTATTTCCTATTTTGTGGGAGATTATAGAGCTTAGGTCCAAGGTGTTTCTTTCTATATTGTGGAGTGTGTGGGCATGCTCTCGTGCGCACATGTGTGTTACTCGGGCATGTCTTCTTACTATTTAAGATGCCAAATCTGCAGGTTTGTTGGAGATACCAGGCATCACAATCACAAGTCACCAGTTATCCCCACTTGTTTTTTTAAAACTAAGGAAGTCAATTGGTTCCTTAAAGGACGATTTAGTGTTACTTGAGGCTATCAATGATAAGGTAACTAAATCTGTCTCTACTTCATTTGTTCATGGACCTGCTTAGTTTTGCAATTCTTGTGAAATTGAATTGGAAGCAGCTAAGTCCTTGGTTGAGCAAAGCATACTTTCAATCACTTTTAGATTCTTGCTGATTAAAGTGCTGCATCATCTGCAGATGTTAAAGGAAGAGAATATTCTTTTATCAGCCCCCAAGCGATCAACGCTTGATAATTGCAAACTTCCTTGTGGTGTACGCATTTGCGTTTCTGCAGGCCACTCTCAAGACGACGTGTTGAAATTGGCTATGTCATTGAAGAGAGTAGCAGCATCCATATTTGCAGAGATTTAACAGGTTCTATACCAAATTTGTTATAAATGGTCATATAAATTTCATTTTGGGTTTTCTCTTTCTCTAGATCATTTACAATCCTTTTCGGGTTAACTTGGCAAGGATTACTGATATTTTTGTATTACCAGTTTTCTTAAATTAATTTTCATTGAATTGTCCAGCCCTCTAATGTTTTTCTTTGCAATGGTTGTTGGAATTTGAAACAGATCTTTCTTGTTTTGAGATTCCTAGTTCTAATACCTTAACGTTTCTCCTGAACCTGGCTGGAACAAAATCAGGTTCAAGAACTGTAATTATAACTTTATACCAATAAACTATTAGATGCAGGACAGCTGTGGAACATAACGTAATGGAGGTTTTTTTTTTTTTATGTTCGTGCTTAGTAAGACAAAATGGAAATTTGCCTAAATTATTAAGGTCTAGATTTGTATTTGATGATTTTGAGAAGTATTTCGTCACAGGGAAATATTCTCAAGGAGAAATATCTGTTCAGTGTAGTTGCCTTAGTCATGTTAGAATACAATCTGTGATTCCCTGCTGCACATTGTACGTACGATTCACGCCTCACAAAAACTGCAGTTAACTATTCGCAGTCGTATTTGTTGGAAGGAGATAATGCTAAGTTTTAAAATATGTTTGCTATGCATCATTATATGGAGCAGATCAAATTTGGAAATGATTATGTGGATTTCCTAGAAATTAAGTTGTGAATGTGTGTGCATGTGTTTAGTGTGTGTATGTGCCTGTGCACGTCTATGCGTGAGGTCTCACATGAAATTCTCAAAGATCATTTTCTTTTTTTTCTTCTTTTAGATCTATATTATAGATAGAGAGGTCTCGAACTCTTGGAGGATATGGGGAGAGAGATAGAGAGGCACCTTGCATCGAACACTTGGAGGTCATATTCTCCTTTTTCTTCTTATATATAAAGAGGGAGCATATGGTTCCATGTGTACCTTTGTGTGAGAGAAAGAGGCCACGCATCGAACGCTTGGAAACTATCTTGTTCTTCTTCTCAAATGTAGAGAGAGCACATCGACCGAGAGAGATAGAGAGAGAGAGAAGGACAATATCAGGCTTTATTTTTGTTTGGGTGGATTTAAATTTCTCTTTTTTATTTTTTATTTTTATTTTAAGGTATGGCACTAGGTGGGTGTCCACATCACCTAGGTGCCCACTTGAGCCCTCATAGGTGCCTGCCTTGACCGCCTTGGCCCCCACTTTAGGCATGCCCGCCTAAACCCCACTAGTAGCCTAGGCGGTTCGTAAGCCAGGTCGCCTAGGCGGCAAGGCGGCCGAATTTTCATTTATTGCCTGTAGCTTAATTTTGACTAAATTTCCTAGGGAAACCTTGGACTAATTTGAGATGGATTTCAATGATTTTATGGGGGATTCGGATTGTTTTGACGCTCTGATGGTCTTTACCCTTGAGAAATTGAAGATGACAAAATGACTAGCCAATTGATAGTGGTAGAGTTTTCTCTAGTATGTTCAAGAGCGTGAATGGCATTATTTGGTTGTCGCAGCATGAACCATTGCATCTTGCAGAAAACACTATATGGCTTGGGATTTCCTCCTACAGGTTGTTTTTATGACTTTATAACTTGCTTTTCTATTATTCTCTCTCCTTTTTCCTCCAAGATGTAGGTTTTCTTGATAACGTTTTGTAATTATCAAGTGTAAGTTCATTCATACGAAAGCTTGAAGCCTCAACTAAAAAAGGCTTCTGAGGATTGGTTGACGATGAGGCAAGCCTGGTTGGCGCATTGTTTAGCCGAGTTTTTCTCTTTGCGTCGTGCCAATCACGGTGTAAAGCAATGCAAATCAGCTCTCCAAGGTGAGAAATTTGAAGCCTCAACTAAAAAAGGCTTATGAGGATTGGTTGACGATGAGGCAAGCTTGGTTGGCACATTGTTTAGCCAAGTTATTATCTTTGCTTCGTGCCAATCACGGTGTAAAGCAATGCAAATCAGCTCTCCAAGGTGAGAAATTTGCGCAAAAATATATTCGTGTCCATGGGCAGGTTCTTTGGAGCCCCCTCCACCACTAGGTTTGAGCCCCAAACTCTGATCAAACAGTCAGATTCCTTGAAGTATGGCGAGTGCTTCACCCATGTCTGAAGTCATACAGTTCTCCGGTCCCAAGAAAGACAAAAGTGTAGCACCCTGGATATATGTGAACAGTTCCCTTATTCCAGAAATACGAGGTTTGCCTTGACAGCAATCATCGAAATTCAGCAGATGGTGTCAACTTTAAGGAGCAATCCATTAGGAAGATCGGTTGGGTAGGTTCCTACTTGTGATAATAGCCTCCCAATGCAGTAAAAGACTGGAGGTGGATAGGCCTTTGAAATGTTTTCAAATAGCAGCCCACCCAAGCAGAATTGTATTGTCAGAAACAGCCTTGGGTGATTTAAAATTGCTGTGGAACACTCTTCTATTATTTTGTCTATCCGGTGTTCGAGAGGATTGCCAAGACTGAAATCCTCCACAAAGTGAATCCTGATGAGGAAAAGGGGCAAGAGAGAGGCAGAAAATAATTGATGAATGGATTCCACACTACCCACTCTTCCTTGCTCAACTGATTCTTTGTTGGACTTGCACATGATGCATTTATTCAGCATGGCAAGAGTAGGACCACACGTTTGGAGGTAATTGACCACTGAGTATCTTTTTGTGGATGGCCATCCAATTGAAGAATTGGACCTTAGGGGGGACTTGGGGGAGCCAAGCCTTGCAGGCAATCAAGGGTTGGGTGTTGTCGTGCCTAAGCTATCAGTAGAAGAGATTGAGGAGCCTGAAGTGGAGGTGCCCAAATAAATTTATGGCATCGGCAGATAGGAAGATAATAGTAATGGAGAGAGCTGGGCAGGGTAAAAACAGGACCCTCGCCATTAGGTAAGTTCCTCCAAAAAGTAGGGGTCCAAACAAGATGATCACTCAAAAATTCGATACATCCAACATACTACATCCCCGATCCTATCCATCTGAAATATAGAGGGAACTGATTTTCCAGGGTGTACTTGTCTACCCATATGTCCTTGCTCATCTACCCATATGTCCTTCAAGCACACACCCTATTCCCTAATTTGGTTAGAAGCCTTGTCTTGTTCGACAGTGTTTATGCCGACGAAACACCTTTCCTAGCTGCCAACATTCGAGAGTTAAGGTACCCCATATGTAGGCAACCTTAGTTATTGAGTTTTGTGCAATCTCCAGCCTCCATACATTATTCTTTTGGGTGGTAAAACACCACAACTAGTTCCCTCACTGAGCAGGGTTGAAATCTTTTGAAGCCCTAATACCCAAGCCCCCCTTGCAGTTTTGGGTTCGCAGACTGCGGCCTGATTCGTAAGTTGAAATTTGTTTTTACCTCCCGTCACTAACCAGCATCCCTTATGACTTGCTTTGCAGACTGTGGCTCGATTTATAAACCGAAATTGGTTCACCTCCAGCCCTTAGACCATAGTCACTAGGATCGCCTTAATGGTTGGCAATCCCTTTTAGAATCTCGATTCTCTCCATCCCATAATGGATCTCACAGGAATCTTTTTCTTTTTTTGCTTTTAGGATCATTTTTTTTTTTTTTTGGGTAATTGAGTGGGGAAGACAGGCCCCTACCTATTTTTACAAATAGATTAAGAGTTAGCTTTTTTAATGTGTTATTTTGAGGTGGTGTTAGTGGTGGGAATGAAAACCACAAAGTGGTGATTAGGGTGTGGGGTGCTACCACCACGACCTTAGCCCCTTCTTGATCTTTGCTTTCAAGATCTTACTCTGTTTTACAAGAGAACGGGTCCTTAAAAGTATTGGCTCGTGTTCTTGGTCACTAGAGGAACTAATTCTTGTGTGACACGGTTCTCGTTCTGGGAATTTGTTGGATCTAGATTCAAAAATATTGGAACACGAGGATCACCATTTATTGTATCCAGATCCCACTAATATGGCATAGGTCTAATAGCACGGGATCCATCTTATCCTACGATTCAAGCCGAGGGCCCCATCGATTGGGGATTGAGCTTCCATTTTTTTGGGGATCGAGCATCACAGCCACCATTTTAGCCATGCCAAATTATTAATATATTTTATAATATGTAATTATGTATCTGTAGATCATGCAGTCAACAACCCATTCTCTTTATGATTGGCTACTAGTCCCCGCATGGAATGGCTGCATCCAATAAGGTATTTGGGCATTTGGAAATTGTGATTTTTCAGTTAGGAGATGAGGAGCTATTAGGTGCTACGGATTTTTTTATTGTTTTTTGGGTTTTTTAGGCTCTTGAAGAAAAACATAGGGGTGGCAATTGGGTCGGGTCGACCCAATGACCTGGTAGATCAACCTGATCTAGGTCCAGGTTGGCCCAACCCAGACCTGCCCGAACATACGCGCGTGCACGCACACACATGTACACATATTTATGTATATTCACACATACACATATACATATCACCATCATTTTCCAAGCTTTATCCCAATTATTTAGGATCAGTTACATCAATCATGTTCATCCATTCTTCTTTATCCAGGGGTGATACCCTTAGTAATTCCAAAAGTCGCCATATCTTTCCTCACTACTTTATCCATATCCTTTTGGACCATTCTTTTGCGTTTTTAGATCATTCGACTTGAACCAAATTGCACATCCTCACTCGTGTTGTATTAGGTATACAAGGCACATGGTTAGCCCACCGAAGTCTATTTTCCCTCATCTTATCGCCTATTGAAGCCACAACTAAGTTATGGATTCAGTATAAATTCTATCATTTCATGTCTTGCCACTCATCCATTTCAACATCCCCATCTCAGCTATGCTCATCTTACGGATATGTTTTTGTTATTGCCTAATATTTTGTCCCATAAAGCATGATTGGTTTTACAACTGTCTTATAGAACTTCCCCTTTTGTCTCAATGGTATGCGGTGATCACATAAAACTCTAGATGCACATATCCATTTCGGTGAGACATATTCGTCAATCTGTCCATTATCATGGATTATCGACTCTATGAATTGAAAATAATAACTTTTTAGATATTTATTGATCATTAATCGTAGCTACTACCTTGTTTCTACTCTTATTACTAAACTATTATTACTAAACTTGCCTTCCAAACATTTTATCTTAGTCCAGTTAATTTTAAACCTTTAGATTCTACAA